GTTGAGACGAGAGGTTTCACTGAAACATGTCCACAAAGCACAGCCCCTGTAAAAAGCCACGAATTATCGTGCAAACTACGATGAGGTTACCTCCTTGCTGCCTGTAATACATTCCATTCTTTCTAGATAAGATCGACACTTTGGATCCTTTGCTAGCTTGGTTACGCAATGCTGCACAGTCTCGAGACATTATGTCAATTACGAGACATAACCGTCACGTCTGTAGTCCATGATTTAGATGAGATCGAGCGAAAGTGTCCAAGAATTTACCAAAGAGATGTTTGGCGAAAGCTGTAAACGCGCTTTTGATGGCGTATAGTACTCCCATGGCGTTTATGCAGTCTTGATGCACTGCAATGCTGGTTTCGGATTTTTTTGTATCCAAACAGCGAGACCCTCCTTCTTGACAGATGCATGTTCTGCGCAGGCAGTGGGCGATGTGGGGAGGATTTGTTTCTGGTCGGGAATGTGTGAATTGAAGAAGTTTGGAGGCGACGGGTGCTGATGGAGTTTGGATTACGGTGTTCTACCGCAGATTTGCATGAAGTCGCACATGGCAGAATAGGCCAAATCTGTGATCGAACTTCCATGGGCAGTGTGCACAATTGAGGCGAATGCTGCGGGTGTTTGTTGATGCTCCGGGTACTAGTTCGCCAGTCTCAGTGCGATGGATTCGCAAGTGACCGATCAGACCGCTACGTGATGTGAGGGGGTGATCGAAATGGGGACAAGTCGGGACCGAGTCCCCATTGTTGGTGCCAGGGAATGATTGTGGTAGCAGTGGTGATGGTGATGGGGGTTGTGGCGGGTGGCAGGACGTAGGAGGAGTTCCCACCACTAATGGGGGTGGTAGTATCTGTTGTCTTTATCAGCAAGGAACTTGTCATATTGATTGCGAAGGTGGTGGTGGGCGACCGAGCACTAGGGGTTCGCTTGCCAGGGCGGTGGTCGTCGACGTCTGTGGGTGTTGCGACAGTTAAGATGGAGACGGTTTCTGAGACAGGGGAGGGTGCCCGACGTTGGTATTGCACTGGACCCGCAAATGCCAGGTGGGTCTGATCCGCGCTTAAGACGATCGTCGGCATAATAGACGTTATGGGAGAGGCTGGCCATTAAAATCGATTGACCGCGGGATTAAGGACTTGTCGGCCGTTCTTTTGGCACCGGTATTTGCGATCCAGCTGACTCCGTAGATTACTGCTCCAACTTTCATGCAGATGGAATCTCTGCCAAAGCTGAACAGATAAGTGGGTTCACGGAACATAGAATTGGCTACTAAGTTCACTGATATTACGCCTTCTCTGCAGCGATGATTTTCGCGGTTCTTAGTGTCATTTCAACACCAAGCGGTCCGTCGACGCTCACGGCGGAATCTTCCGTATTCACCGTCTACTGGTAGTTTGATCGGTCTGCAAAGGGATCCCATGGTCTTATTTCCCTTGACCTCTCCTCGGCTGGGCTCGAAGCGTACTGTGACGGATCGCGTCTGGGTTCCTCTCGTCTCGCCACTTTGACGCGAATAGCCTCATCTGGTGTCTGAATTCTGCTTTGATGATGTCCGTATCGAATGCCTTATACACTACCACATGCAGGCCAGTCCTGTATGACCCACATGCATATCCCTTCATACCCCTTCTACCCTGACGATGTCCGTTTGGAATCCGTCATACGTTACCATATGCAGGCCGGTCCTGGCAGCACTCTTATCATTCCATGAGCGACAGTCTTTTTCTTCTTTAAAGTTAACCCAACCACATCCATTTTGTTTATTAGATAAAGCAGTTTTTCACTGCTCCATCCTCATGTTTCTGACCAAGCTGCTTATTCAAAAAGCACGAAATGGATACTGAGGAGATTCTGTTGACCTGTTCTAAAGTTCATGTGAAAATTTATTTTTATTTGCTATGAGGAGACCCAGTAGTATTTAATAATAAATTATTTATTTATTATTTGCTTTTCAGGCCTGTAAATGACGGGCGTTGTCCTCCCAGGCTTCTCTATTGAGTTGTGGTTTCTTTATAGAATTATTTCCGTTCTCGTGCCGAGGAGCGCTCGGGGGAACAACGTCATAGCATAGAGGCTTGAGAAGGCGCTCGTCGTCCATCCTTAAAATGTGGCCCTCGTACACTGTCCATGTGCCCTTCCTCTTCAACGCAGTTGACGGGACGATGGCATGGTTCATCTTAAGTCTCATGTTAAGCTGAGGTCCACGGTGATTCCGAATTGAGTCCTGTAGAGGGCTGGGGGCCTGGCTGACTTCTAAGATTCTGTAGGCTAGTTCGTCGTCGATTTCGACATCCTATTATATTGTAATTTCTGGGAAATCGAATTTGTTCAATAATAATCTTTTATTGGGAACCTGTGTTGAGTACTGTTGCTGAAGAATGTAAGAAGTAGATTCACAAATAAATCTCCGAGCAAATGAGCAGTCACGCGCAGCGTACACCTTGTACTTATAATAATAATGATAATGACGATTGGTGGATTGGGTGCCTACTCACTGGCGCCGTCAAAGGTTATGAGAAGGGCGTGAGATAAAAAGGTGGCAAAGAGTTAAAAAAACTCCCCGGAAGACTAGCTAAAAAAGATGAAAAAAGAGCGTGATTTGGAGTTTTTGGGGTGAAAACTCTGTCGTCTAAGGGAAGAGAGCACGTGTATGAGACAGCAGCAGCAGTCTGATGAGAAGCGTTCCTCGTTAAGTGGGAATTCATGAAATGAAGAAGTGAAGAAGAAGAGTCCCGCACCGGAACACTTCGTTTATTGTCCTGAGCTTTCAGACTCGTGCAGGAGTCCATCGCCAGAGATAGTAGCAACAACAGAACGAGCGAGAGTTATAGACCCTGTAACTGTTGCTCCTTCCGTTGCTGCTACTATCTCTGGCGATGGACTCCTGCACGAGTCTGAAAGTTCAAGACAATAAACGAAGTATTCCGATGCTCGACCCTTCTTCTTAACTTATGCAAACACCTGGAACTCGAAATTTCGCCTTCATTCATGAAGTGAAGAGGCTAATTGCTCATTCAAAGCGATTACAATATATATTGGTTGACTGCACAAACGACCGTCAAATAAGCGAAACAGCGAAATCCACCTCTACCGTCACATGTTCTTTTAGGGTCAATACGAGGAGAGGAGGATACAGGTCGTGAGGATCATCGCTGAATGGGCAATATCAATGGATTTAGCACCCAATTAAAAACATACGATTGTGCAAACACATGTGATATTTTTTCAGCTGAATAAGTAACGTCTGTTTGCAATTTGCTTCGGATTTCAAACATTTCGAAATGGCGGAGTTTGAGCCGCTAACTTAGTGGGAAGAAAATTCACGAATGGAACGAATATTATCCGATTTTTAGAAATGTATATTTGTACATGATGATTTTATGATTTTTAAGATATTCCTGTACAGCGGATTCCAGCGCTAGTCGAAGCTTATCCCCACGTGTTACAAGCTACAATGCTTGCTCGCTTTCACAATGCACGCCGGTGACGTGCTTCTTAGGCCTTCTTTCAACTATGGAATGGAGCGTTTAATCAAAGGCTGAGTTGTTATATGCTTCCTACAGGTTAAACAGGTGAATTTTTACTGTCGCTCCATCCGTCTATATAAGAGGATTTATTGCCAAGTTATTTAAAATTTATAAACGAAACACAAAATGGTAGAATTCGAAAGAGCATGAAAAACGGGGGCACTTGCCATTCGTTTAAGCGAAATGAAGGTTTGGCGTCAACAGTAAGATTCGAAACTGCGACTTCAGGACAGGCGATCAGCGCTTCAGATCATTCGGTCGCGGCTGCGCGAACGAAAGTCAAAAAGGCATATAAACAGAAAATCTATCCATATTCAGAAATTATACAGAATATTTTTCAAAAGCCCAATTCGAACCCGCTCATCTAAAGAGCAGAATGAGAGCAGGTGTCGCTAGCGCTAAAGACAGATTCGTCAATCCCAGACTATGAATATCAGGATAAGACCTGAGTTATGAAAGACTTAACAATCAAAAGTCATACGACCTGACAATCCAACTCATGCCAAGCGCGTCGCGTCGAGTTGTGTTCCTTCCATTCAGTTAAACAACCAGTAAGTTCAAGAATGAGGAACAGGTAGGGAAGGGCAGGATAGTCTGGCGCCTCAGCACAGTACCCCCATACGAGACCGGAGGGAGGCGAAAACGACGCCGAAGGATGTGTACAGGTCTAAAAGAAATGAGTAACTAACCGATCAGGGAAGTGTACAGGACGACCACAGCGAGTGATATATACAGGGTTCGTAGAAGAGTGAATACGTCTGGTGGCGGAAGTGTTGGAGTTGGTGGTGGCAGTGGCAGGTAGGGAACAGGAGGGCAGAGAGAAAATACGGGACGGTGGAATAGGGGCTGCATGGGGGAAGCAGAAGACAGAGGACCACAGGGCTCATCCGGAGGAGAGTCACGGACGGCAGCCTTGAGGCGGACCACACTCACGACCTCATCACGATTGTCGCGCTGAATGCGGAAAGTCTTCTGCCCGCGAGACAGCACCCGAGGTGTCAGAAAAATGGGGCTTAGTGAGGGTAGAATATTTTGTTAAAAGTCTATGAAGTGGACAGTCAGGGTTTGGGTCAAGGACGGAGAGCTGGTTAGAAGCTGAGGATGGAGGAAATCCTTTGACGGTGAGGGTAGTTGCACGATCATGGAGACGAAGTTGTCTGCAATCCACCAGAAGGTCAAAGGCGGCCAAAAAATCAGCACCAAGGATAGCGGTGGGAACAGCAGCAACCACAAATATCCAGGGGAATAATCGCCGGAGACAAATATCCAGAGAGAGGAATCGAAATCCAAAGGCTGTACTGGGGGATGAGTTTACGGTTTGGCGGCAAAGACCATGGCTTGGCCAACGTCGGTCCGCTGGCGTGGGAGGGATAACACTAATCTGAGCGCCAGTGTCAACTAAAAGTGCCTGCCACTCGTGTTTTCACTGACGTAAAATGTGCGACCCGTAGAGTTGCCAGAGAGCATTTACTCTCCGGCCGAGGAGTTTCCCTGCGTGGACTTGAAGGGGCAGGGTGGGACACAGCGCCGCGCCTTATCGCCATAGTTAACATGATACCAATATACGTTGGCGGTCCTGTGGCGAGAGCGGGAACGACGATGGTCACGGCCGAAGGAACGTCGAGAGGGACCGGAGGATCGGCGCGGCTGCAAAGCGGCAACAGTCGCTGACAACTGGGCAATCTGTGTCTTTAGTTTAGCCAAGTCAGAGGAGGACACGGTGAGAGGCTGGAACGCCTGAGCAATCGTCGAGGATGACAGACGCTCAACCTCCATCATACGGCCAGCCGCTAACTTTGATATGTCTAGGTCGTCGGAGCTAGGGGCCAAGATTGTTTGTACCGACGTCGGCAGACGTTCTAAGAACATCTCTTTAAAGAACTTGTCGTCGATTTTCACGTTACCGACCAGAGAACGCATACAACGCAAGAGTTCCGACGGCTTG